TGCAGTTGCATGTGTATGTGCATGTGCAGTTGCAGTTGCAGTTGAATTTGCAGTTGCATGTGCATGTGGCATAATCCTTGAATTATACAGTTAACATTTTATTTTTTAACAGATATGTTATTATACATAAAATAGATAATAATTAGAATATATACGATGATTGTTTTTTTGTTAATATATTAAAAATTTATTTTTTTTCAAAAATGGTTTCGCGTCAGACTAAAACACTTTATACAACGATAACACCCTAATAATATACCATATCAATATACCATAGCTTTTTTAAATCTATGGCTATCCCAGTATAAGATCCCCTTGTTAGATATAATTTGGATAAAATATAATTAGAAAAGAAAAGAAACAAAACAAAACAAAACTAAAGGGAAGAATAACGTGGAAAAAAAAACATACAGTTACCACCATTCACCCTCTCCCCATACAGCACCAATCCTCACAACCCTCTCCCCCTCCCCATACCGGATTCTATATAATTCTTTTCTTTCTACCGTAAATTCGTGATCGCGTGTTTAACAAAACTTTAGCGCGAATACTAAATTTATGTAAATTATTCGTAAGAAATTTACGAGTACTCGATGTTGTTGACTGTACAACATTTCTTTTTTTCTTTTCTTCTTTTTTTTTTTCTTTTTCTTTTTCCGGTCGTATTGACGCGAAGGGGTAGAGGAAGGGGGGTAGGGGGAGGGAGGGTATACATTCTCGGTTTAACTTCTCGTAACTTTTCTAACGGTGTGTTCGTTTTTCTTCATCCCCCTCTTCATCCCCCTCTTCATCCCCCCTCTTCCTCTTCTTTTTTTCTCGTCGTAGTCGTAGTCGTAGTTGCGGTTGGTAATCATGGCAATTAAGCAAATGAGTTTTACGTATAGGGACGTCGATAATGAGGGCGTCGGGGTGCTCGAGACAAACGGAGCTATTTCGCGGGGTGCGACTAACCAACCAACCAACCAACCCACCCCCATCCCTAAAAGCCCTCTCCCACGCCCTTTTGACAAACCTTCTCCCAGTAGTCCACCTACCAACCCATCACCAACCTACCACCACCCCATTTTTTTTCCTTTTACACTCCTCACCTCTCCTCTTCTTTCACAGTGTTCAGAGTATCCGACAATGTTCGGAATTTCTTTTTCTTTTTCTGTTTTTTCTTTTTTTTGTTTGTTCATCCCTTTATTCAAAGTCTTTAGACGAATCCATGACGCGACGTTTATTCGCATATATCGTAACACGTTTTTTTTTGTTTCTATTCCCTAAATTGTAAGATTGGTTTTATTTCAAATTGTTTTTACTATTATTTTAATTTTTTATTATGGGATGCCTTTTGGGTTTGGAATTGGCTATCGATATTAAGTTTTATTTTTACAAAAATGTAACAACAATTTTTATATATTCTATCGAAATATATTTTAATTTCGAAAATATAATTAAAATTAATTTTTATGATCTAATTAACATCATAAACAATTCACTTCTACAAACTATAATCCAATTCTAAAAATAAAAGAGAGAGAGAGAAAATATAAACAAATTTAAGATCATTAACTTCTTTCTTTTATTATTATTATTATTATTATTATTTTTTATATACAATTTCTTCTTCTCTCTATTCTTCTTCCTTACTTTGTTTTCTTTTCATATTCTCCTTCTCCTCATTCCAATCTTTAACTTCAACCCTTTCTTTCAATCTCTGTACAACCAAATGTTTTACTATTTCGATAGTTTTCATGTTGATCATCTGGCAATTGGTCAAATCCCATCTTTCTTTCTCTCTTACTCTCTCTCTCTCTTTCTTTTTTTCTTTTTTTCTATGTTACCATCTTTGTGTATCCCATGAAAAAAAAAATAAAAGAAATTTTGTCGTTGTCAAAAGTGGTCAATTTCACGTAGGATGCTTCACACACAAATTAATGTATATAATTGTAATATATACTTCACACATAATTAATATATATATATGTAATATATACACATATACATATGTAATAAAACACATATATATATATATATATATATATATGTAAATGTTTTAATTTAATGTTTTATTTATGAAAAGAATCAAAGTGTGATATCAGCACGGATTGCTAGTTTGTTTTTTTTCTGTTGGTTTAATTTATATATTTTTTTGTTTATCTTTTCTCTTCATACGAGGAAACTACGATAGTTTAAAAAATTAACGTCTATTTCTTTTTTAATGCGGTAGGTAACATTATCTATCCGCTACCGTGTATTTTATGTTCTTTTTTTTTTTTCTTTTTCTATTTCTTTTTCTCTTTTGCTTAACCTTTGTAACCAGAATAGAGGGTAAAACTCTCCGAGTGCATTTTTCAGTTGCGTTTAGTCCCTCATACTCTCTCTCTTTCTTTCTCTTTTATATCTGTGAGAAAGAAGGAGAGAAGCAACGAGGTTAGTGCCGCAATTAAAATAGTAAATTGTTCTCTAGTCACGCGTGTGTTACAAGGAAAAAAGAAAAGGAAAAGGAAAAAGAAAAAGAAAAAGGAAAAGGAAAAATAGAAAATAAAAAAGTGATCTCGTGAAATTCTACTTTGTTTTTATAACAAAAAAA